AAGGCTCCTAATGAGATGGATTGACACAGTGGCAACAACAATGCAGCCTGATTCAAACCTCTACGCTTATCGGGCTGCTAACCTCAGGGTCAGCAGTTCAAAACCAGCTGTCCCATGGAAGAAAGATGAGGCTTTCTGCTCCCGTAAAGATTTACAGCCTCGGAAACCCTGTACAGGGTCGCTATGAGTCGGAACTGACTCCATGACACATAACAACAACAAAGACTACAAAGTTCTTTAAAAATCTTAAAACACCAAAACTCAAACCGACTGTTGTCAAGTCAGTTACAGCTCAACTCGAGATTTAAAATAGTAACAGTAATTGTAAGTGCTGTTGAGTCAATTCTAACTCATAGCGACTCTGTATAGGTTTCTGAGAAGCAGTTGGTGGGTTTGATCTGCCAATCTTGTGGTTCAAAGTTCTGTGCTGATTAATAGATACATGATATTTAGCAAGAACTAGTAAACTAGTCCATTTCTGTTATATTAATATCAATAATCTACTAATTTATAAATAAAAATTGCTTATTCAACATTATGATGCCTTCAAAAAATGGCAGGCATACTCATTAAATCAGCATACTAGGATCAGGTATAAATTTGAAACATTCATCCCAAAGGGATAAGAACAGATTAACTAATTTGTAAACCTATCTTCAGCCTATAACTGATTGGAATACCTCAAAGGGGTTCTAGAAGTTGCTCAGTGAAATAGGCCTCTTGCAAAGCCTTTGTAGAGTATAGGACCTTAGGTGGAATCCTGAGCCCTATCCAGAACCTTATGAGGTGGGACATTCTCACTAGCAAGGACAAGCAGAGCAGCCTTGAACAGCCAGAGCAACAGAAGATACTTCTTCAAAGAAAGATCATCAGGAAAAACCCAAAACAAAAATATCAGCATGACTGACTACTACAAGAACAGAACAACCAAGCTGTTCACCAGGAAGCCATCAAGGCAAGCAATCAAGTTCCTTCAGGACAAACGCCCCTCTAAGACTGAAACTCAAAGGGAACACATGAGCAGGAATGTGTTGCTGGCAACCACACTGGTCTACTGGTGAGTAGAAGAGGGCGAAAGCAGCAATAAAGAAATGGGCTGAGTTCAACCACAGTCCACTGACTTCCTTTAACCTGGAAATGAGAAAGAGAAGAGGAAGGGCTGGATGGTCCAAAGTGTGGTGAGACCTGGGGGCACTTGATCCCACTGATAAGGACATAGCCACAGAGGGCTAGAGCTGAGAATGAAGTATCCAGCTGAAATGAAGTGAGGGGAGATGCACAAAACACCCAAACTTGCAGACAGTACCCATTTGACCTAGCTTCGATGGCTTGATAATCAGAACTCAACTAGAGGAAGATTAGATGCACACAGAAAACTTTTTTTTTTTTTTTGATAAAGGAAACAAGGGTAAATTGCTACAATTTGATGAACCTGACCTATAGTCGTGCAGGTAGTAACTGTAAATACCAACAAAGAGAGAAGGAGTCTCCACATCAAGTATCAATACTACCTCCTCTGTACACAGGTTAGATAAGGACGGGCAACTTAGACATTGGCTTCCTAAAGTGAGGGGGTGATAAAGGCAAGAAGTAGCAAACTTCGTCTCTCATACTTTGGACATATTGTCAGGAAGGACCAGTCACTGGAGAAGGATATCATGTTTGGTAAGGAGGAGGGTCAGGGTCAGAGTAAAAGAGGAAGAACCCCAACGAGATGCACTGGTCAAGTGACAGCATCAATGGACTCAAGCGTGGCAACAGTAGTGAGGTTGCCCAGGATCAGGCAGTGTTTCGTTCTGCTATGCATAAGGTCACTATGGGTTGGTAACGACTCGATGGCACCTAACAACAACAACGAGCTTACAAGGTTTCAAGAGGGAGTATAGTTAAGAGTGGAGGGGTGGGGGGAGAAAGAGTCCCCACTGAATAGTTTTCATCTTGTCTAGATAGGTCTGGTGAAGGAGATGGGGATAAGATTTGTATGATTAAAACTGTTATCATGACTAATTGCAACTGTCATAATTGTAAAAGTAGAAGTTTTGTAACAAAAACAGGGGAATGGTTAATCTTACAGTCCAGAAACGGAGGACTCTAGGTCCATCAAGGGAAAAGAGCATTTACCTTATCCAGAGAAGCAGCCTGAGACAGAGGCAGAGATGAGGTCATGGAGAGTGGGAGCATCTAAGGACTCTAGATTCATGGCAAGAAAGGAACCAAGAAGAATGTGCCCTTTTAGAGGTGTAAATTATTATATATGCCTGACTGAGTAGTTTGGTTTTTTTTTTTTTTTTTTTCAAATGCTACAGTGAATAGAGAGAAATACTGGTAACTGATAGTATATGGAAGGGATTATAATCACTGTATTGAAACAAGGTGTATAATTTGTTGAACGTAAAACTGATGATCTTCCCTGTAAACTTCCAATCTAGAATAAAAACCTAAAAAAAAAAAAAAAAACCTAAGAACAAATTTCTTCTACTATACTGATGATTAACCTATCAGATCCTATTCTTCCCATAAACTCCTTGAACCATTTATGAACCTTAAAGAATATCCTCATATTTTTCTCTTCCTTCAACCTGACTGAATTAAGCACTTTAAAACATAACCAGTAGTTTTGGATCAATAAAATTTTGCATGGGCTGTTAAGCAAGGTTTCAGATATTTTAGATATTGTTATTGTTAAGTATTATTTCAAATCACAAAAGGTTGATAAAACAATAATTATCCCAAAAGGATAAAGTCGATGGTACTCAGCAATATGAAAATTTCTGAACCAAAAAAGAAAGATACAGGATCTTTAAAGAAATAAAAGTAGGTAGAAATGAAGCTAACAATAGTAGAAGAGTTACTATACTGGAAAATCTTGGTTGAAATCCATGGAATCGTATTTGGCATAAAATACATTATTAACAAATATTAAAGCTCACCTGCTTATAAAAGGAAGTGAAGATCAAAGAGAATTTATTTCATTTATTTTTAAATGTTGAGCCTCATGGAAAATTAGTAGATATATATATATATTTATGATACAATCTCATGGGGGGTAATAATGCTTTTAAACAAATACATTTTTCTAATATTAGCAAAAATAAGAGAATCAAGAGTTTTTATCTGTAAAGTTTTAGTCTTTATTGACAAACATAGGTTTTACAGAAACATATGAAAAGGAGAATGTTTAAGAATAAGGCAATGCTCTGGTAGCATAGTGGTTACGAATTGGGCTGTGAATCACAAGGTCAGCAGTTCGAAACTACCAGCGGTTCCGCGGGAGAAAGATGAGGCATTCTGCTCCCGTAAAGATTTACAGCCTCGGAAACTCTGTGCAGGGTCGCTATGAGTCAGAACCAACTCCACGGCACTAACAACAACAATTACATTTAGAGCATTTGAGTAAAATGAGACAAGAATACCATGATCTGTATAACCATAAGAGATCTGATGTCTCACTGGGTGACAAGCATGTGGTCTAGCAATGTATAATTCTCACTGGAAAATAAACTACCTTATTGTCCTGTATCTAGTTTATTAGACTCCATTTATTCAGAACTAATGAAAATCTGTTCATACCATCTCACCCTTTCATGATCTATGAAAAAAGATTTTTTTAAGCATTTAAGTACACAACACTGCACAGGATATAAAGAATGTTTGAAATTTATTATAAATTATAATCAAAAACTAATTACAGATTGATTGATTTTATTCATAAGTAGACCTGAGAGGTGTTCGATTTTTATCAAAACTTTAGCTATTATTTACTTTGCTAATAAAACATTTTAAAATAGCTGTTGTTTCACACATTCATATACATACAGATATGTATATATGTGTTGTATTAAGTTATGGCAATATATAAAATCCTTAAAAGGATGAGAGGTATCCATTGTTATCTTCAAAAGGATACATAAAAGAAAATGGACATACACAGAGAGAATCTGGTTATTTACTGTAGTAAATTTCAAAAGTTAACCATGGTACCAAGTTTATCTTTTATTACCTTATATAATTACACAGAACTTCTGGCATGCATTTATTTCTGAATTTCTTCTGTGCTTAACTTCACTCTCTCACCTATATTTTAACTATTTTTGCATTTGAGTTTATTATTTCACTATATGTAGTTCAGTAAGACAAGTTAACTCCCTTGAGGCAATAATGGAGACTGTAGTTAAGATTATTGTTGTTGTTAAGTGCTGTCAAGTCAGTTCCAATTCATAGTGACCCTGTATAGGGCTTCCAAAGGGCAGCTGGTGAACTTGAACTTCCAACCTTGCTCTTCAAACTGACTTTGCAGTTCAGAACATTAACCCATAGTGCCACACCAAGACTTAGACAAAATTAATTAAATACCACAAAAAAAATTAAAACTCTACCTGTTTGCTATACTGTTGTTGTCAAGTGCTGTTGAGTCAGTTCCAACTCAGTGACCCTGTATAGAGTTTCCAAGGTTTGAACCACTGACCTTGTAGTTAGCTGTCTAGAGCTTATCCCACAGCTTCACACTAGGATTCTTTTGCTAAATTCAACAATTTAAAATACTTTGCAGTGAAACAAAGAACCTCAAATTTTAACATTAATATTAAACTCTCAAATTAGAAGCAACAGAACGTTATGTTTTGAGTCATTTTTCAAACAACAATGAAAATATTTAAGCACTCCAAATTATAATTCCGAATCTCCTTGTTGACCAACTTTTCAGGTACTTTGAAAAAGGTACCTGAAGAAGATGTTTGATATTTTTGGTAGCCATAGACAGAACACAGCCGGGAGAAGGCGAAGTTGAATTCCTGGCCATGACCCTATTACCTTGGCACTAAAAAGATAAACTACTAATTTCTCATATATGAGCAATAAAAAAGTTAGAATTTTCTCATAACTTTCCTTTGTTATACTTTTAAATATAGGAATTAGCACTTAAATTCTATGAAGTTAATTAACCTGGTAAACCATAGTCGACACTTGAAAGTACCAGTCACAATCAGCATAGATTGCCTTACCTGCCATTGCATAGAAGCCACCGAGCAAGAGAGTAGTGAGGTATAATCTTCTGCATGACACTGGCCATCACCATGGTAACAACCAGCTGCACACCTATGATACCCTGTGTAAAAACAAACAAGTTTAACAATGAATACATCTGGATTTGGGGGAAATGCTGGAAAACTTTCTAAAAATGTTTTAAATTACATTTTAAGAAAAATTAAAATGAATTTATTATTAAAATATACAAAGGGATCTTTAAAACTTTTGTGGAAAAATCCCACTGTCATTAATTTAATTCCATTTTTCTACTTTCTACAGCCACTTGTAGTTATTTTGTCATTGAAGACCACTTAAGTTTACATTTAAAATATTTAGTCTTGTCTCATAACCCTCTGAGCTGGGCTGCTAATTGCAAGGTCAGTAGTTAAAATCTACCAGTCATTCCTTGGGAGAAAGATAAGGCTTTCTGTTCCTGTAAAGATTTACAGTCTTGAAAACCCTATACAGACAGGGACGCTATGAGTCTGAAGTGACTGGATGGCACACAACTACCACCACCTCATAACCCTCTAAAAGTTATCTGAGGAATACAACCATGTGAATAAAGTTAAGTATATTAACATACACATTCACAATATATTTCTAAAAAACGTTTTGCATAAGGTAAGGGTAATCAAATACTGGTTATTTCAACTTTCTCCAACTTACTCTACTTAACATACTTAAAAGATGATCTTGACAAGCTATAATCATAGTACACCTATTTTTTATTCCAAGGGTGGTGGTAGTGGTAGGTGTTAGCTGCCATTGAGTGGACTCCATTTATAATAGAATACCCAGTCTCATGATCAGTTGCTCTGGTGGCACTGTAGAAATAAGTACTGGGCTAACCACAAGATTGGCAGTTCAAACCCACCAGCCACTCCACAGGAGAAAGAAGAGATCTTCTGCTCCCATAAAGGTTTACCCACTGGATCAATAAACATCTATATAAGCATCCATCAATGGACTCAAGAGTGGCAACAGCAGTGAGGTTGGCCCAGAATCAGGCAGTGTTTCGTTCTGCTGTGCAAAGCTCGTTATGAGTCGGTACCTACTCAATGGCACCTAACAACAACATATAAGCATCCTGGTGTGGCGTTGTGGGCTAATGTGTCAGACTGCAAAGTCGTTTGAACTGCAAGGTCGGTGGTTCAAGCTCACCAGCTGCTCCTTGGAAACCCTATACAGGGTCGTTATGGGTTGGAATCGAGGACAACACTTAACAACAACAACATATAAACGGAGAAAAGTTTGAAGTCAACAAAGACTTCATTTTGCTCAGATCAACCATCAACACTCACGGATGTAGCAGTCAAGAAATCAAAAGATATACTGCACTAGGCAAATCTGCTGCACAAGATCTCTTTAAAGTGCTCAAGAGCAAGACCAACGTCAGTTTGAGGACTAAGGTACTCCTGACCCAAGCCATGGTATTTTTAATAGCCTCATCTGCATGCGAAAATTGGACAGGGAATAAGGAATATCGTAGGAGAATTGATGCATTTAAGTTATGATGTTCAAGGAGACTATGAAAAGTACCACAGACTGCCAAAAGAACAAATAGATCTTTGTAGGAAGTAGTACAGCCAGAATGCTCCTCCGTCTCTCATACTTCGGACATATTATCAGGAGGGAACAGTCCCTGGAGAAGGATATCATGTGATAAAGTGGAGGGTCAGAGAAGAAAAGGAAGACCCCCAATGAGATGGATTGGCACAGTGGCAGCAGCAATGGACTAAGGCATAGCAACAATTGTGAGGTTGGCCCAGGACTGGGCAGTGTTTCAATCTGTTGTGCACAGTCACTATGAGTCGGTACTGACTCAAGGGTACCTAACAACAACACAAAGATTTATAGTCTTGCAACTGATTTGATGGCATACAACATGATCAGTTGCAGATTGGACCTTTGAGATCACAGGTTGTCTTTGGTTAATTTTCATACGTAGATCCCAGGTCTTTTATTACCAAGGGTGGCAGTGGTTGTTTTCAAGAGCTGTAGAGTCAGTTCTGACTTATAGCGACCCTGTAAAGGGTTTCCATGGCTTTTAAAATCCTCACAGGAACAGAAAGCCTGTATTTCTCCTGCAGAAAGGCTGGTAGGCTCGAACCGTGGACCTTGTAGTTCTCAGTTCACTGTTAATTGTATGGCATCACCATGTTCCAGCTAGGGTGTTGTGTTTAACTGCTGTCAAGTCGGTTCTGACACATAGCGACCCTGTATAGGTTGGATGACCTTGAACCACTACCTTTACAGTTCAAACCCAGTTTGCAGTCCAGTGCATTAACCCACAGCACCATACAAAGACTCCTTCCTCTAGGGTGGCAGTGAATAATTAAAGAATATTAACCATTAGTGTAAAGGCAGAACTGACCTGAAAAGTCACTAAGAAAAGAAAATTAGATTCATGTAATCACCACTAATTTCCAGTGGACCTTCAACAATGTCCAATGAGTCTTAGGTTTTACTCATCAATCCTCTTTTACTCTCCAAGGAGTGGCTGATGGGTTTGCACCAATGATCTTGTGGTTACCAGTCCACTGCTTATTCTACAGCAACACATCAGGACTTCTCCTAACTTCCAGCCCCGTCAAACGAAATCTCAATTCAACAGATGACATCTTCCACTTCCACAGAGAAAAGCAGCACCATAAAACGGGAACTCCCTCACTTGCCACCTCCAAACTCACAAGTCTCTAGTATCTGCAACCATCTTCTTCTACATCCTCTATTACTAATGGAGCATCTGCAATATAAAACCCGTAAAAATATCCTTGCATCTGTGCTTTTTGGGCCTATCTTCTCTGATCTTTAGGAATCTTAACCATGAAATAGCTTCTTTCCTGCATCTTTCTTCAACCTATTCTTTATTAAAATCTTCTTCCCAGTATTGTGACACCTAAAAGTCACTTTCATCATTCTAAAAATCAACAATAATAATTTACCCAATTTCTACAACTCCCCCCGCCACTTCCTCATATTATTAGCCACTTTTCAACAGACTTGTTCTGTTTCCTTTTTCATATCCCACACAATTTCTATCTGGCTTCTGCTCTAGCCACTGCAAAACCTACCATATATCAAGAACAATGTTGCCAAATTATTAAATCTCAGCAGTACTTCAAATTGCTAACCATTCGTTCCGGCTTTATTTCTACACCTTGAGAATCGGCAATCTGCATGGTTCTTCCTTTGCACTTTCCTTCTTCTCTTACGCCATCGAGTCGGTTCCGACTCATAGTGACCCCACTACAAGTTTTCCGAGGAGTAATTGGTGTGCTTGAACTACCAACCTTATGGTTCACAGTCCAATGTACACACTACAGTGCCACACCAGTAGTCTCTTACATAAGCAGCCCTAAAATAAAGTAGGATTACTACAACAATCCAAATATATCCCCCCAAAGTACATTAAAAAAAATATGGGCAGGTAATTTTAGCATTCTATACCTCCATCTCCCCTTCTATAAAACGGAGCTAACAATTCAGTCAATAAATGGTATTATTTTTTGTTAATGTCATTGTTATTATTGCTACTAGAAGACTAATTTTCCAAAAACAATTCCAAGATTAGAAAAGGCCTTTCTAAAATAATCCGTAAATATTAAAGGACTGAAAAAGAAAGTTAAAAAAAGAATCAAACTTCTGCCCTGAGAAAAACAAAGTCAAAAGACAAACTAAAATACAAAAAGTATTTGTTAACTCATATCACAAAGACCAAAGCCACAATAAATTATTTAATCAGAGATAATTTACTTACTTGATATTACACAGAGACAGTTTCTACAAGGATCAGCTGACTAATTAAAAAAAGGTGAAAAATAACCTTTCAAATATATACCAAGCCTGCTTCAAATAAGGTTTTATCTCGATTATTTTAATGCTTTAAACTCTACCAACTGGGTTAAGGTCTAGACCATATTAATATTAAGCTAACATCAAAGGTTACATTTTTTACCTTTTTTCTTTCACATTTCTAATACTTGGATTTACTATCTGTGTGGTTTGTGATAGAGCTCTGCAATCTCCACAATGAATGCTGGCATCACAAAGAACTCTTTCAGGCAGAATAAGGCCAAGAAACATATTAGGAAGTATGTCAGAAAGTCAGTCTACTTGAGATTATAGACTTAAAAGTAAACGATCTTTTTTAAAGTAAGGGAAAGTTGTGGACAAAGTAGACCTCAACCTAGCCTTGAAAGAAATGTGATAGTATCGCAGAATCTTCAAGGTCATCTAGCACAATCTCTATCAAACACATACAAAGAGTAGATATCATATCTTTGTCCCATTTATTAAATGTCATAGGTATTAATGGTAGTCCAGAAAGATGGAGCTAGGAGGTATAATTAATAGAATGTGATGAACTAGGGAACAGCTAGTCCAACTCTCTACCCTTCCTCCAAATCACTAAGCATATTTAGATATTGCTCTTGGATCTACTCTTAAGGATATAAACCATGCAAAGGTAAAAACAAACAGAAAATCAGCAAGCTGGATGGACTAGAATCAGAAATATCCACTAGGTTTCTGCAATAATTCAGACCAGAAATGATGTTCTAAATTACAGTAGTCTCTCTGGTACCTAACAGAGAAATAATTTTTAGAGCTATTATTACAGAACTCAGAGACTGAACAAATATGGAGTCAAAGAAGAGATAAAGAGACTGACCCTAAGAAAGGCATACACTATCAAGTAGCTGGAATATTCTTATTATTGAAATTACTGTTTGATTAAAATACGCTCAATGCAAAAAATGTAGCCTCATTCCATTCCTTTATTTTATGACATGTCCCTCTTTTCAAATGAAACAGAAAATACTTTCTAAACATTATCTATATGCTGTGTTAAATACATTATATTATAAAAATATTCTTCCAATTTCTAACAAAACTCAAACCTTTTGGGGGAAGATATCTGCTGTTAGGTAACATGCATTACTAAGAGAAAATGTCACTTTTAGCTCAATGTATGAATCTACATAATCTTTTAGAAAGGCAATTTTTAAATTTTGGTAAAATACTTTCCCAGTTCTTCCTTTTCATACACTTGCTGCTGTTGTTAGGTGC